CTGTTGGTGCAAGACTTGATGCACCGGTATCGCTTTCCGTGCAGAAGCAGAGAGAATAGACTATGGCTTGGGTGGTTGGAGTCTTTAATAATTTTCCGGGCCTTCCTACTACACCGCCTGATATAGAGGTCCTGGATGGCAGGGAGCTCGGACCCAGTGATGTACTGGACTGTACGCACGAACCTCTGTAGCGCCATGTGATCGAGGGCGATGCTATTGCCATACCAGGCAGTGATGCAGCCAGTCAAAATGCTCTCAATGGTACAGCTGTAGAACTTTTTGAGGATTTGAAGACCCATGCCAAACCTTTTCAACCTCCAGAGGGGTAAGAGGTGCTGTCGCGCCTTCTTCACGACTGTGCACGTGTTTGGACAATTTTAAGTCTTTGGTGATTTGAAAACCAAGGAACTTGAAGCGCTCGACCTGCTCCACTGCGGCCCTGTTGATGTGGATGAGGGCGTGCTCGCCCCCCCCCCTTTCCTGTAGTCCACGATGAGCTCCTTGTTCTTACTGACGTTGAGGGAGAGGTTGTTGTTCTGGCACCACACTGCCAGGTCTCTGACCTAAATAAATAAATAAATAAATAATAAATAATATGCCATTTAGCAGACGCTTTTATCCAAAGCGACTTACAGTAATGCGTGCATAATTTTTTTTTTGTGTATGGGTGGTCCCGGGGATCGAACCCACTACCTTGGCGTTACAAGCGCCGTTACAAGCGCCGTGGTAGAGCACGGCGTTACAAGCACCGTGCTCTACCAGCTGAGCTACAGAGGACCTCCTCCCTGTAGGCTGACTCGTCGCTGGTGATCAGGCCTACCACCGTCGTGTCGTCAGCAAACTTGATGATGGTGTTGGAGTCGTGTGTGGCCACGCAGTTGTGGGTAAACAGGGAGTACAGGAGGGGACTAAGCACACACCCCTGTGGGGCCCTTGTGTTGAGGGTCAGCGTGGCGGAGGTGATGTTCCCTACCCTCACCACCTGGGCTCGGCCCGTCAGGAAGTATAGGATCCAGTTGCGGAGGGAGGTGTTCAGGCCCAGAGTCTTAAGCTTGGTGACGAGCTTGGAGGGGACAATGGTGTTGAACGCTAAGCTGTAGTCAATGAACAGCATTCTCACATACTCCTCTTATCTAGGTGGGTGAGGGCAGTGTGGAGAGCAATTGAGAATGCGTCATTTATGAATCTGTTGGGGTGTTATGCAAATTGGAGTGGGTCTTGGGTGTCTTGGGTGTCAGCCTCTATCCTTTAAAGAAAATAATTTGATTTTGTCACACAAAGGTTTACTGTGCGTGAAGTTTCAAATGCATTCTGTCAATACTAAATAATGTGATAGGTATTTACACACAAAAACATTTGAATAATAAAATATTTAATCAGTTGTCTTCCTCAAATGAAGGGGATGATGACACGATCTTTGCAAGAGGGAGGGATTCTGATTTCATTGGTCTTCAACTCGTAGCTCAAACACTTCATTCAGGATAAATGGAATTAGCCTTGAGTTAGCCTGCCCCGGAGCAGGTTAGATCTGAAGGATTCGTTGCCATAGAAATGTACCTGACTAAAAGGTGAGCCACATTCGTATGACTGGTTATCCCGAGTTGAAGTCAGAGTTGACCAAAGTTACCTCACTAATTCCTCAAACCTGATGTGTACGATACTCCTCTGGTCTCAAAGACTATACGAAACATAGTAAACGAAAATCCAAAATGAACACTAACCCTTTAACCTAACCCCTAGCCTAGCTAACGTTTGCCACCTAGCTAATGTTAGCATTAGCCACCTAGCAAACATTAGCTACAACAAATTGGAATTCACAACATATCATATTTATTGCATATTTTGAACATATTGTATGAATTGCAATTTGTAACATATCATACTAATTGTAATTTGTAACATATCATACGAAATGGATGATGGACATCCACAAAGTAATACATACAAACGTAACATATCATACTAATTAGTGTCCCGGATTTTCGTTTACTATGTTACGTCTACCCCTAAGTCCAGGTTGCAGCATTCAGGCAATGTTGGTTGGCTGATTGAGGGCAACACAAGGTAGAGCAGTCTGAGTATCTCCTCTCGTGGGAGCCTGTATTTTTTAAGGAAAGACCCATCATTGTGAGTCTGCAACGGGCTCAGGTTGTTGTGAATATGCGCATTTACAGTGCATTCGGAAAGTATTCAGACCCCTTGACTTTTTCCACATTTTGTTACATTAAAGTCTTATTCTAAAATGGATTAAATTGTTATTTTCTCTCATAAATCTACACACAATACCCCATAATGACAAAGCAAAAACTGGTTTTTATAAATTTTTGCAAATGTATTAAAAAACAACTGAAATATTCCATTTACATAAGTATCCAGACCCTTTACTCAGTACTTTGTTGAAGCACCTTTGGCAGCGATTACAGCCTCAAGTCTTCTTGGGTATGACACTACAAGCTTGACACACCTGTATTTCAGGAGTTTCTCCCATTCTTCTCTGCAGATCCTCTCAAGCTCTGTCAGGTTGGATGGGGAGCGTCGCTGCACAGTGATTTTCAGGTCTCTCCAGAGATGTTAGATCGGGTTCAAGTCCGGGCTCTGGCTGGGCCACTCAAGGACATTCAGAGACTTGTCCCGAAGCCACTCCTGCGTTGTCTTGGCTGTGTGCTTAGGGTCGTTGTCCTGTTGGAAGGTGAACCTTCGCCCCAGTTTGAGGTCCTGAGTGCTCTGGAGCAGGTTTTCATCAAGGATCTCTATGTACTTTGCTCCGTTCATCTTTCCCTCGATCCTGACTAGTCTCCCAGTCCCTGCCACTGAAAAACATCCCCACAGCATGATGCTGCCACCACCATGCTTCACCGTAGGGATGGTGCCAGGTTTCCTCCAGACATGACGCTTGGTATTCAGGCCAAATAGTTCAATCTTGGTTTCATCAGACCAGAGAATCTTGTTTCTCATGGTCTGAGAGTCTTTAGGTGCCTTTCGGCAAACTCCAAGCGGGCTGTCATGTGCCTTTTACTGAGGAGTGGCTTCCGTCTGGCCACTCTACCATAAAGGCCTGATTAGTGGAGTTCTGCAGAGATGGTTGTGTTTCTGTAAGGTTCTCCCGTCTCCACAGAGTTACTCTGGAGCTCTGTCAGAGTGCCCATCGGGTTCTTGGTCACCTCCCTGACCAAGGCCCTTCTCCCCCATTCTCTGTTTGGCCGGGTGGCCAGATCTAGGAAGAGACTTGGTGGTTCCAAACTTCTTCCATTTAAGAAGGATGGAGGCCACTGTGTTGTTGGAGACCTTCAATGCTGCAGACATTCTTTGGTACCCTTCCTCAGATCTGTGCCTCGACACAATCCTGTCTCGGAGCTCTACGGACAATTCCGTCGACCTCATGGCTTGGTTTTTGCTCTGACATTCATTGTCAACAGTGGGACCTTATATAGACAGGTGTGTGCCTTTCTAGATCATTTCCAATCAATTGAATTTACCACAGGTGGACTCCAATCAAGTTGTAGAAACATCTGAAGGATGCGCCTGAGCTCAATTTTGAATCTCTAAGCTATTTCTGTTTTCGCTTTGTCATTATGGGGTATCGTGTGTAGATTGATGATGGGGGAAAAAAAACTATTTCATCCATTTTAGAATAAGGCTGTAACGTAACAAAATGTGGAAAAAGTCAAGAGGTCTGAATACTTTCCGAATGCACTGTATATACACCAACCAACTGCACGGCCGCCAGTTATGTTGGAGAGCAACAATCCTCTGAATAGCAGCCTTGCTGTATTATTGTTGTTCCGCTGACCTCTGACAATAGCTGGGTGTTTATAGCGTCCTTCCAATTTGCACCTTGGCAAATATTCTACAAATGTCTTGAACTCTATTGGAGGGATGCGACCCCATTCTTCCTCGAGAAATTCCGTAATTTGTTGTTTTGTTGATGGTGGTGGAAAATGCTGTCCCAGGCGCCTCTCCAGAATCTCCCATAAGTGTTCAATTGTGTTGAGATCTGGTGACTGAGACGGCCATGGCATATGGTTTACATCATTTTCATGCTCATCAAACCATCGTGACCACTCGTGCCCTGTAGATGGTGGCATTGTCATCCTATGGGGGCATAGCCATGGTAGCCAAAATAATGGCCAAAATAATGCCCTGTCCAGTATTTGTATATATGACCCTAAGCATGATGGGATGTTAATTGCTTAATTGACTCAGGAACCACACCTATGTGGAAGCACCTGCTTTCAATATACTTTGTATCCCTCATTTACTCAAGTGTTTCCATTATTTTGGCAGTATTAGAACCAGGTATTTCCAGTGAGTGTACAAAACATTAAGAACACTCTTTCAATGACATAGACTGACTAGGTGAATGCTATTATCCCTTATTGATGTCACTTGTTAAATCCACTTCAATCAGTGTAGATGAAGGGAAGGAGACCGGTTAAAGAAGGATTTTTAAGCCTTGAGACAATTGAGACATGGATTGTGTATGTGTGCCATTCAGAGGGTGAATGGGCAAGACAAAATATTTGAGTGCCTTTGAACGGGGTATGCTGGTAGGTGCCAGGCGCACCGGTTTGTGTCAAAAAGTGCAACGCTGCTGGGTTTTTCAAGCTCAACAGTTTCCCGTGTGTATCAAGAATGGTCCACCACCCAAAGGACATCCAGCCAACTTGACACAACTGGGGGAAGCATTGGAGTCAACATGGGCCAGCATCCCTGCTGGACGATTTTGACACCTTAAAGTCCATGCACGATTAATTGAGGCTGTTCTGAGGGGGGTGCAACTCGATATTAGGAAGGTGTTCTTAATGTTTTGTACACTGTGTGTATACTGTACATTAACAAGCAACAATGGCGAACCACAACCGTGCGAAAGCTAAACAAAAAGGCAAAAGGTCTCATTCTGTGATAATGTTTTATCAGGCCCTAACTGTAGGGATGTTTTTTTTCTTTCTTGCTTCTTCTCTTCTATGTAAGCAGAGAATAAATCGGAGTCTTTGTTTCAGTTAAGCAATCTCAAGAAGGTCACACATCTGGATATAGCAGAAAACAATTTTGCCAGCATACCCATCTGTGCTCTTCGTATGACAAGCCTACAATTGTTGGACATGAGTATCAACATGTTGACGGATTTGCCTGAGGATATGGACAGGTATGTGAAGCATAGCCTTAATGCTATAACAGATTACCATTTCATCATTCATCACTCACACATTACCATCATTGTTGATTATCATCATGATCATCTAATGATAAAGGTTTCATATTGTAAATTATATTAAAATTGTGATAATTAAGTAATACATGCTTCAACTCTGGGTGGGGGCAACCTTCTGCCTGGAGAGCTACTGGGTGTGCAGGCTTTTTCTCCAACTCAGCTGAAAGCAGCTGCTCATCAGGATCTTGATTAGCTGGGGTGTATTTGCTAGTGCACACCGTAGCAAAACATTTTGCAACGGAAAATGTTCTGCAAGGAAAACTAGTTTATTTTTGGACAAATTCACATAGGACCCTCCCCGTTTTGTCTCATTTTCTTCTGTTTAGTTCCTAGTGAATACACCCCTGAATTAGATGTGTGTTGGGTTGAGGTAAAAGCCTGTACCTTGTAGCTCTCTAGGAGGAGGGTTGGCCACCGCTTCTTTAACTATTCCCAATATCTCCTGTGTCCGTTTCAGGTTGGAAGAATTGGAATCCTTGTTTGTTCATAAGAATAACATGTCGTATTTGCCAAAGTGTTTGGTAAATATCACTACACTCAAGATGATTGTTGTTAGTGGAGACACATTGATCTGCTGGCCTTCAGGGCTTAAAGACAATCCTGCCATCAAGTAAGTCTGACGAGATGACAGCGTGTATAGTATCATAATACCTCTGTATAACTATGCCTGGTGGTCACATATACACTATATATACAAAGGTATGTGGACACCCCTTAAAATTAGTAGATTCGGCTATATCTGCCACACCCGTTGCTGACAAGTGTATAAAATCGAGCACACAGCCATGCAATCTCCATAGACAAACATTGGCAGTAGAATGGCCCGTACTGAAGAGCTCAGTGACTTCCAACGTGGCACCGTCATAGGATGCCACCTTTCCAAAAGTCAGTTAGTCAATTTTTGTCCCTACTAGAGCTGCCCCGGTCAACTGTAAGGGCTGTTACTGTGAAGTGGAAACATCTAGGAGCAACAACGGCTCAGCCGCGAAGTTGCAGGCCACACAAGCTCACAGAACGGGACTGCCGAGTGCTGAGTAGCGTAGCGTGTAAGAATCGTCTGTCCTCGGTTGCAACACTCACTACTGAGTTCCAAACTGCCTCTGAAAGCAATGTCAGCACAATAACTGTTCGTCGGGAGCTTCATGAAATGGGTTTCCATGGCCGAGCAGCTGCACACAAGCCTAAGATCACCATGCGCAATGCCAAGCGGTGGCTGGAGTGGTGTAATGCTCACCACCATTGAACTCTGGAGCAGTGGAAACGTGTTCTCTTGAGTGATGTATCACGCTTCACCATCTGGCAGTCCGACAGACGAATCTGGGTTTGGCGGATACCAGGAGAACGCTACCTGCCCCAATGCATAGTGCCAACTGTAAAGTTTGGTGGAGGAGGAATAATGGTCTGGGGCTGTTCTTCATGGTTCGGTCTAGGTCCCTTAGTTCCAGTGAAGGGAAATCTTAACGCTACAGCATACAATTAAATTCTAGACAATTCTGTGCTTCCAACTTTGTGGCAACAGTTTGGGTAAGGCCCTTTCCTGTTTTAGCATGACAATGCCCCCATGCACAAAGTGAGGTCCATACAGAAATGGTTTGTCGAGATCGGTGTGGAAGAACTTGACTGGCCTGCACAGAGCCCTGACCTCAACCCCATCGAACACCTATGGGATTATTTGGAACACCGACTGCGAGCCAGGCCTAATCGCCCCAACATCTGTGCACGACCTCACTAATACTCTTGTGGCTGACTGGAAGCAAGTCCCCGCAACAATGTTCCAACATCTAGTGGAAAGCCTTCCCAGAAGAGTGGAGGCTGTTATAGCAGCAAAGGGGGGGACCAACTCCATATTAATGCCCATGATTTTGGAATGAGATGTTCGACAAGCAGGTGTACATATACTTTTGGTCATGTAGTGTACCTCTCGAAGTTCATTTATTACCTTCTATTCAGTCTCCAGAATAATTCCCCACACTGTCTATCTCCTGGGCCCAGTATTTCAAAACATTTAATCCAGATCAAAATGATCCTGCATTAAATTCAGTTCTCCCTTCAGATGTGGTCCCTCCTCATTTTTTCCAACAGTTGAATAAATGCAAAACGGAATCAAATCTGTAACATATCACATCATATACTACAACAAAGATCATGTTGTATGATCTCATGACATTTGGTCTAATGAAGGGGGAACAAAATCAAATGGGGGAACCGGATTGAGACAACACAGGATAATTTTGATCTGTATTAAAAAAACTGGGCCCAGATGATAAATATTCAATAAAAAATGTGATATGCCTTTTTCTTTTCAGATTCATTAAGCTATATGACAACACGGTTGATGAGATAATGGAGGGGGATGATGAGATATTGGAAACAAGGCAAGACCATCACAAAGAATTTATGCAGACATACATTGACACGGTGAAGGATAGAGGTAAGAGATGGCTTTTCATATGTGGGTTGTTTCGCTGTTGGACAAGCTAGTAATCACTTAGCAAGACATTAGATCCATCCACCGCAGACCATTTCTTTACTTTTATTTTTTTTTAATTGACATTTTAGTCATTATAGCAGACACTCTTATCCAGAACGACTTACAATTAGTGAGTGCATAAATTTTTCATAATGGCCCCCCGTGGGAATCGAACCCACAACCCTTGCGTTGCAAGCGCCATGCTCTACCAACTGAGCTACAGAAGGGCCACTCAAGGCATTCATATGTCTAATACTGTATTATTGTGTAGCCTATAAATGTAGAGTTTGATAAGTAAATGTATGATTTCTCTCCAGAAACTGCCCCAACATACACCACCAAAGTGTCATTCTCATGCTGTCTGTAATGGAGATTCAGATGACCAGAAGAAAACGGACAACCATGCTGCACTGCCTCTGAACACTTGTCAACAGCCGAGTTCCAGGCTGACTACACTGCAGATGCATGCAAAAACTCATAACATCTGGATAGATGTTTAACAAAGGGGCATAGGCATGTAATGATCTTTACTTGTCAGTGTTCCAAGCGGGATATTATTTACCTAAACATGCAAACACCATCAGATAGAATTCATAGCAAGCAGTGCATTGGGTTAGTCAGATTTGAGTAAATATAACAGAAGAGATGAACTGGAATGACATTCACTCTCATGGGATGGGTTGCCAAAAATAACAAACTGAAGCCACACCCCCAATAAGGCACGAATATGACTGCAATTAAGCGTATATCATTGTGCTTCTATGCCACTGTCTATTTCATTTGTTCATTTAGCAAACAAGACAGCTCATAATCCAGTGCCTTTGTCACAGTCAACCACCTATATTTTAGCTTTTATTAGCTATAAAATTCCAAATGTTTATCTTTGCCCCATGGCAAAATGTGTAGAATTGCAGGAAATTAGCTTCAGGAGATCAGCTTAATATTGCAGATAGATTGTAACTTCCATCAATGTAGTTGTCTGCATCACTTCCAATCCCCCATGTTTATATATATATATATATATATATATATATATATATATATATATATATATATATATATACACACACACACACATACATACACACATACATACACACAAACATTATTAGTTATCTTGTTATTATTTGTTGTTAGTTGTTATTAGTCCCATCCAACACCTCCCATCTACAGTGGGGAAAAAAAGTATTTAGTCAGCCACCAATTGTGCAAGTTCTCCCACTTAAAAAGATGAGAGAGGCCTGTAATTTTCATCATAGGTACACGTCAAACATGACAGACAAAATGAGGAAAAAAAATCCAGAAAATCACATTGTAGGATTCTTTATGAATTTATTTGCAAATTATGGTGGAAAATAAGTATTTGGTCAATAACAAAAGTTTCTCAATACTTTGTTATATACCCTTTGTTGGCAATGACACAGGTCAAACGTTTTCTGTAAGTCTTCACAAGGTTTTCACACACTGTTGCTGGTATTTTGGCCCATTCCTCCATGCAGATCTCCTCTAGAGCAGTGATGTTTTGGGGCTGTCGCTGGGCAACACAGACTTTCAACTCCCTCCAAAGATTTTCCATGGGGTTGAGATCTGGAGACTGGCTAGGCCACTCCAGGACCTTGAAATGCTTCTTACAAAGCCACTCCTTCGTTGCCCGGGCGGTGTGTTTGGGATCATTGTCATGCTGAAAGACCCAGCCACGTTTCATCTTCAATGCCCTTGCTGATGGAAGGAGGTTTTCACTCAAAATCTCACGATACATGGCCCCATTCATTCTTTCCTTTACACGGATCAGTCGTCCTGGTCCCTTTGCAGAAAAACAGCCCCAAAGCATGATGTTTCCACCCTCATGCTTCACAGTAGGTATGGTGTTCTTTGGATGCAACTCAGCATTCTTTGTCCTCCAAACACGACGAGTTGAGTTTTTACCAAAAAGTTCTATTTTGGTTTCATCTGACCATATGACATTCTCCCAATCCTCTTCTGGATCATCCAAATGCACTCTAGCAAACTTCAGACGGGCCTGGACATGCACTGGCTTAAGCAGGGGGACACGTCTCGTACTGCAGGATTTGAGTCCCTGGCTGCGTAGTGTGTTACTGATGGTAGGCTTTGTTACTTTGGTCCCAGCTCTCTGCAGGTCATTCACTAGGTCCCCATGTGTGGTTCTGGGATTTTTGCTCACCGTTCTTGTGATCATTTTGACCCCACGGGGTGAGATCTTGCGTGGAGCCCCAGATCGAGGGAGATTATCAGTGGTCTTGTATGTCTTCCATTTCCTAATAATTGCTCCCACAGTTGATTTCTTCAAACCAAGCTGCTTACCTATTGCAGATTCAGTCTTCCCAGCCTGGTGCAGGTCTACAATTTTGTTTCTGGTGTCCTTTGACAGCTCTTTGGTCTTGGCCATAGTGGAGTTTGGAGTGTGACTGTTTGAGGTTGTGGACAGGTGTCTTTTATACTGATAACAAGTTCAAACAGGTGCCATTAATACAGGTAACGAGTGGAGGACAGACAAGCTTCTTAAAGAAGAAGTTACAGGTCTGTGAGAGCCAGAAATCTTGCTTGTTTGTAGGTGACCAAATACTTATTTTCCACCATAATTTGCAAATAAATTCATTAAAAATCCTACAATGTGATTTTCTGGAATTGTTTTTCTCATTTTGTCTGTCATAGTTGACGTGTACCTATGATGAAAATTACAGGCCTCTCATCTTTTTAAGTGGGAGAACTTGCACAATTGGTGGCTGACTAAATACTTTTTTCCCCCACTGTATATATAACTATAAAAATATATATATCTATTCAAATATCCTGCATATCTTATTTTCCATCATTATCAATTAATATGCGTAACAATGTTGGCAGTTCATGCACAGGATCTCAACATACAACCCAGATTGCCATTGTATTACATTTAATTTATTGACAAGCAATTATTATCCTAGCAAATAATTACCGCGGTCCATCCCATACCCCCCAAAATTCTTCTCTTTGCCCTATGGCAAAATGTGTAAAATCCCACCCCAAAAAATTATTACTAAATATTATAGAATTGGCCCACCCAAATTTCTGCAGGCCCACCCACCAACAAATTTGTCTACACCACAGTTTTAACATATAAGCTAACTCCATCATATGATATAGCAATCTGATGCCGACGCAGTCGATGACATAGCACACAACCATTGGTTGATGCAATGCAATGTCTGCAATGAAGTCGGCCTGGAACTCTCCCAGTAATTGCACCTGGTAATATGCTACTTGAACAGTTCAAGTATAAAGATTATGGATGGGTTAATGTTGTGCCATGATTACTAGTCTATGTTGGAGTGCAATATAATTTTTTTATTTTGCAATATAGTATGCTGTATTGTTGTAAATTGTGTTTTTACTTGATGCATCAAATGCCTTTTGGGGACCTTGCATTTTTTGTTTGCATTTTGCATGGTCCCCCACTTTTTAATCCATGATCAATAAGGCTTGTAAAGAGATCGTAAATTACATTACCATATTAATATACATTTGGTAAGTGTATGATTAGTGCAGATTGGGCTAGCACTAGCTTCAATATTTACGAAAAGGTCTCTCACATGTTATGGGAGACCATAAAGAGGTTGTAATATAGTACATTTGTTCTGATGTGACCAAACACTTGTGGCAGTGCAATAGTGAAAGGCCTGAATGTAGGTAGGGTTATTTGTTTCTAACTTTTTTCTCAAATAAATAATGATTTGTCAATAAGTTTACTGAATGAGTGTCTGGGATGCTGAGTGTTTTGCAAGAGAGCAGTTTGTATGATTTGTTATAGACAATGCTGTATGATTAAACACTTTTAAAAAGTTTCATCATTTGTCTGCACTCTGATATCAAGAGCAAATATGAGGAATACTTTTCACATAATACCCACATAATGGTCATAATTAGTGGATTATAAAATCCATGCATACTAGTGTAGATTATGTAATGCAGACATCCAACAATTGCTATACATTTCTTTATTATTATTATTGTAGATATTATTCAGAATTATGATTTAAGATAAAACAAAGCTATTACAAATGCACAACCCATGAAGAAATCATTCAACATTATTTTAAAAAAGACCAGTAACAACTGCTCAAAATACACCGAGCAAAAATATAAACGCAACATGTAAAGTCTTGGTCCCATGTTTCATGAGCTGAAATAAAACATCCCAGAAATGTTCCATACGCACAAAAAGCGCACTTCTCTCAAATTGTGCACAAATTTGTTTTACATCCTTGTTAGTGAGCATGCTGCTGAGTGGTGCTGAGAAGTATTTCTGTCTGTAATAAAACCCTTTTGTGGGGAAAAACTCATTCTGATTGCCTGGGCCTTGCTCCCATTGGGTTGGCCTGGCTGTCAAATGGGTGGGCCTATCCCCTCCAAGGCCCACCCATGGCTGTACCCCAGTCAGGTAAAATCCATAGATTAGGGCCAAATTTATTTATTTCAATTGACTGATTTCCTTATATGAACTGTAACTCAGTAAAATCTTTGAAATTGTTGCATGTTGTGCTTATATTTTTGTTCAGTATATTAACATGTATATATATATATATATTTTAGGCACACGTTTTCATTGAAATTAAGATGCAGTACTCAGAAAATGAATGCATAACTTACACTGCATGTTGAGTAAATGACAATCGTTCATTTAGAAAGAAGTATATTTTAACTGCATAAGGGAATCGTTTTGTTTAGCAATAACAATGGCTAAATATATTAACCTTGTTCTTAAAATATACAAAGTGCTGCATTATGAAAGTCCAAAAGACTTGGGTCTTACATAAGTTATTGAACAGATTCATACTGTTTCATCAACTGGTTTGTAGAGATACAGTGAGGGAAAAAAGTATTTGATCCCCTGCTGATTTTGTACGTTTGCCCACTGACAAAGAAATGATCAGTTCAAATAAACCTGCCATTAAAATTAGACTGATCATGTCTGTCAGTTGGCAAACGTACAAAATCAGCAGGGGATCAAATACTTTTTTCCCCCTCACTGTATGTCATAAGTTAGATTCAAACCTGCTGGCAAAATGAATACAGTACACAATACCATACAATACAGGGAAAATGTAACACTAAATTCTACTGTTACAGGTTAGTTATGATTGTATGCAAAAATATAGGTTGTATTGTGTTTTTACACCAATTATCTTTGAGAAAGCAACATTTTTAAAAAATCTAACCAATAACAATCTTAAGATCTGACAGAGCCACATCTTGGTATCAATTCAGTCTGGGATCATAATAGATACAGGTAACTGCTAAAATTAAGGAAACACCAAAGTGTCTTAACAGGGCATTGGCTCACCACGAGCCGCCAGAACAGCTTCAGTGCTCCTTGGCATAAAATACATTCTACAAGTGTCTGGAACTATATTGGAGGGAGCGACACCATTCTTCCATGAGAAATTCCATCATTTGGTGTTTCGTTGGTGATGGAAAACACGGTCTCAGGCGACGCTCCAGAATCTCCCATAAGTGTTCAATTGGGTTGAGATCTGTTGACAGACAGCCATGGCATATGGTTTAAATCGTTTTCATGCTCAGCAAACCATTCAGTGACCACTCATGCCCTGTGGATGGGGGCATTGTCATCCTGGAAGAGACCACTTCCATCAAGATAGAAAGGATTCACCATAGGTTGAAGGTGATCACTCAGAATGTCTGTGTATTTATTGGTGTTTACCTTGTCCTCTAAGGGGTTGAGTGGAACTAAACCATGCCAGTAAAATGCACCATAACAGAGCCGCCAGAACCCTCATTTACTCAAGTGTTTCCTTTATTTTGACAGTTACCTGTATCATACCACAAAAAAGCACTTCCCAACTAGTTGCAATAGTTATGAGGCCACACAACTGTACTCTGAAAATACATTTTTAAAGTACCACAATATGCCATTATCACGGTTTTAATTTCAATTCAGGATTGGCAATTAAAATGTTAAAGTACAACTGTACTGTGGGTGTTAAGTTAATCCATTAATACTTCACTGATAGCCACAATCCCACCAGACCTTTATACAACACAAGAACTAACACTCAGATGTGAAAGGTAACAGTTGCTGTAAAAGTGATGATTTTGTTTTTAAAGGTTATGAGCAGCTATACCAAATCAGAGGGCCTAGATTTCTCTTAAATTGACATTTTATGAAGAGGTAAACATTTGAGGTAGCTGACAATATACTCAGATTGGGATTTGTAGGGTGGATAGGCATATTTGGAATGTCATGGTTCAACTCTTTCAGCAACTATTTCAGCATTCTGTAACATTCAAGTCCAAGTCAAGTCTCACTCGGCTGATTCGACAATACATGACGTGGCAAAAAGGCAAAAGAAAAATAATATATGGCACAGCATTTTTCTAATAATAAATTGTGTCACCATTAAGGTACATACACTGTATATACTAGAGTATGTGGACACCCCTTAAAATTAGTGGATTCGTCTATTTCAGCCATACCCGTTGCTGATAGGTGTATAAAATCAAGCACACCGCCATGCAATCTCCATAGACAAACATTGGCTGTAGAATGGCCTTACTAAAGAGCTCAGTGACTTAGGTACCACCTTTCCAACAAGTCAGTAAATAAAATGTTTGCCCTGCTAGAGCTGCCCCGTTCAACTGTAAGTGCTGTTATTGTGAATTGGAAACGTCTAGGAGCAACAACGGCTCAGCCGCGAAGTGGTAGGCCACACAAGCTCACAGAACGGGACCGCCGACTGCTGAAGCGCGTAAAAATCGTCTGTCCTCAGTTGCAACACTCACTACCGAGTTCCAAACTGCTTCTAGAAGCACAATAACTGTTCGTCGAGATTTACATGAAATGGGTTTCCATGGCCGAGCAGCCGCACACAAGCCTAAAGATCACCATGCGCATTGCCAAGCGTTGGCTGGAGTGGTGTAATGCTCAACGCCTGCGTTCTCTGGAGCGGTGAATCACGCTTCACCATATTGCAGTCAGACGGACGAATTCATAGTGCCAACTGTCAAGTTTGGCGGAGGAGGAATAATGGTCTGGTGCTGTTTTTCATGGTTCGGGCCAGGCCCCTTAGTTTCAGTGAAGGGAAATCTTAACGCTACTGCATACAATGACATTCTAGACAATTCTGTGCTTCCAACTTTGTGGCAACAGTTTGGGGAAGGCCCTTTCCTGTTTCAGCATGACAATGCCACCGTGCACAAAGCGAGGTCCATACAGAAATGGTTTGTCGAGATCGGTGTGGAAGAACTTGACTGGCCTGCACAGAGCCCTGACCTCAACTCCATTGAACACCTTTGGGATGAATCAGTGCCCGACCTCACTTATGCTCTTGTGGCTGAATGGAAGCAAATCCCCGCAGCAATGTTCCAACATCTAATGGAAAGTCTTCCCAGAAGAGTGGAGGCTGTTATTGCAACAAAGGGGGGACCAACTCCATATTAATGCCAATGATTTTGGAATGAGATGTTCTAAGAGCAGGTGTCCACATACTTTTGGTAATTTGGTGTATTTACCTAACTATACACCAATCCGTTTACAATCTAGATTGCACAGTAACTTTGAGATACAGGTCAACATATTATTAACATAAAGCTGGAGTGAGCATCAATTGGCCTTTTAACCCATTAATAGGAGGGGGAAGATTTACTTTAAGCATATGAGAAACTAGCAGAGCTTGCTATCTCTTCAACTCCACAAACACTGTCTGGGCCAATGTTTGACACCAAAACACACCTTGTCACTCAACCCGGTGCATTAAGAAGTCATTCTGTCCTTGTCGCATTGTAAAATCACAGTAAATGATAAAACCATCTCGCTGGACAAAAGACCGTTCCCTAATCATAGAAACAGAAGTGTGTGTTCAATGTGGTTGAAGGATATACCCTGAATGGCTCCATGCCGGCTGCTGCTGGTTGACGTTGGTCTCTCCACTACGGCTGAGTGTGCTGAGGGAGCCATTAGGGGGCGCTCATGTTGGAGTCCCTCTCAGACAGTCACATGCTACTGTCCTGCAGGAGGGGCTCGATATCCTCGTCGCTGGCAGGCAGGGGGTTTAAACTCAGGTTGTTGCTGGTGCTGGTTTTGCGCGTGCCCGTGCAGGTCTTCACCGCTATACTGTGGTGCTCAGGGATGAAGATGGCCACAAGGAGAGCCAGCAACACTAAACAGGCTCCGAACAGGAAGGGCGGCCCGGGGATGGTCGGTTTCTGAAAGAAAGTTCACAAGAAATGTTCCCTAAATGAATACAGTAGTCATTGGGTGCACAGCTTGTATTCAGACCACTTGACTTTTTCCACATTTTGTTACATTATAGCCTTTGTTACATTATAGCCGTATTCTAAAATGAATTAAATTGTTTTTCCCCTCATCAATCTACATACAATAGCCCATAATGGCAAAGCAAAAGCAGGTTATTTTCTGTGCGCAAATTTATCAAATATAAAAAATGTATCCGTTTTACATAATTTGTAAGTCGCTCTGGATAAGAGCGTCTGCTAAATGACTTAAATGTAATAAATGTAAAATGTATTCAGACCCTTTACTCAGTACTTTGTTGAAGCACCTTTGGCAGTGATTACAGCCTCGAGTCTTCTTGGGTATGATACTACAAGCTTGGCACATCTGTATTTGGGGAGTTCCTCCCATTCTTCTCTGCAGATCCTCTCAAGCTCTGTCAGGTTGGATGGGGAGCGTCGCTGCACAGCTATTTTCAGGTCTCTCCAGAGATGTTCGATCGGGTTCAAGTCCGGGCAACTCAAGGACATTCAGAGAATTGTCCTGAAGCCACTCCTGCGTTGTCTTGGCTGTGTGCTTAGGATCGTTGTCCTGTTGGATGGTTAACCTTCGCCCCAGTCTGAGGTCCTTAGCTCTCTGGAGCAGGTCCTCATCAAGGATCTCTCTGTACTTTGCTCCATTCATCTTTCCCTTGATCCTGACTAGTCTCCCAGTCCCTGCCGCTGAAAAACATCCCCACAGCATGATGCTGCTACCACCATACTTCACCGTAGGGATGGTGCCAGGTTTCCTCCAGACGTGACGCTTGGCATTCAGGCCAAAGAGTTCCATCTTGGTTTCATCATACCAGAGGATCTTGTTTCTCATGATCTGAGAGTCCTTTAAGAGCCTTTTGGCAAACTCCAAGCGGGCTGTGCCTTTTACTGAGGAGTGGCTTCCGTCTGGCCACTCTACCATAAAGGTCTGATTGGTGGAGTGCTGCAGAGATGGTTGTCCTTCTGGAAGGTTCTTCCATCTCCACAGAGAAACTCTGGAGCTCTGTCAGAGTGACCATCGGATTCTTGGTCACCTCCCTGACCAAGGCCCTTCTCCCACGATTGCTCAGTTTGGCTGGGCGGCCAGCTCTAGGAAGAGTCTTGGTGGTTTCAAACTTCTTCCATTTAAGAATGATGGAGGCCACTGTGTTCTTGGGGACCTTCAAAGCTGCAGACATTTTTTGGTACCCTTCCCCAGTTCTGTGCCTCGACACAGTCCTGTCTCGGAGCTCTATGGACAATTCCTTCGACCTCATGGCTTGGTTTTTGCTCTGACACGCACTGTCAACTGTGGGACCTTATATAGACAAGTGTGTGCCTTTCTAAATCATGTCCAATCAATTGAATTTGCCACAGGTGGACTCCAATCAAGTTGTAGAATCATCTCAAGGATGATCAATAGAAACAGGATGCACCTCAGCTCAATTTCGAGTCTCATAGCAAAGGGTCTGAATACTTGTAATACATTTGCAACATTTTCTAAAAACCTGTTTTCGCTTTGTCATTATGGGGTATTGTATGTAGATTTTTATTTTATCCATTTTAGAATAAGGCTTTTACGTAACAAAATGTGGAAAAAGGGAAGGGGTCTGAATATTTTCGGAATGCACTGTATGTATTGATGATAGGTGTTACTTTGATCATTATTATTTTAACCATCATCAAAAAGTAGAAGAAGCTTCTCTTACAGAGAACTTTTTTTGTTTTACTAATCCAACTCTATACAAATGGGGAAAAAGACTACATGGAAAATAAAAAACTTAGCCAACAGAAGGTTTTTTGTGTGCTCTTTGGGCCTACAGCAAACTGACTATCCCATTCACCACCACACGAACACAGGTGCACTCATATGATCTCATCAGAGTTACACAGCCATGACATTAAAGATGTAAGCGTATTCTGGGCTCTGTACCTCGCTGGGCACCTGAGGTGTGCTTTTGTTTCTTCCTGTCACAGGGTCAAGCTCGTTCAGCTCCACGTTGAACAGGAAGAATATGAAGCCGTACAGAGCTGGACCCAGCCCATTGCATAGGCCTCTGATACCCGTAATCATTCCCTGGACACAACCTGTAAACGTACCAAAGACAGATTTTACTCTGACGGCACAGAAAAACTCACAATTCACCTCCTTTCAGACACCTCAGGTAGAAAGGGTATAAAAAGCATAATGATTCCTGCCTATTATGGTGAAAGGAAGAGCAAGATAGAGATTACATGGCCCAAAGCATGAATCAGTTGTCACATGTCAGCTGTTGCTCTTTAGTTGGTCAGTGGCAGTGACCTCTGCAGCTGCGTGTAAGGGCGACGTGTGGAGGGGAGAAGGGAGAGCCACAGAGAGGAGACCGGTGTTGTCTTACCTTGCTGATCAGGGGCTGCTATCCGGGACACCAAAGCACTGACTGCAGGGAAGGTGATACTGGACATGGCTGCGACTGTACCCGCGGCCCACATCATCCTGAAAGACAGGAGGTCCCACAGTGGGGTTAGAGCTATTTCACACGGACAATGGACAAATCCCCTCAACACCCACGCGGTGCCAACACTTGGACAGCTGGACAACACTAAAGACTAAAAGACCAACTCTATGAATTCTAGCACGTATGAGATATCATTTTGGCTGTGGATCAAACTCAAACTTACCATGGTTCTGATCCAAAGCCATACCAGGCTAGCTGGAACAACTGAAACCCCAGTCCAAGTAACACTGTGTTTTTATTCCCGATAGTTCTCATAAAATAGGTTAAGAGCAATGTCTGTTAAAAGAAAAGGGAAGAGAACAATTATTACAGTAAATCCAAAATATTATATTCTTCATGATCTTCTTTTAATAGTTTGCGGAGGTAAATAGTGACGTGGAACATTGTAAATAGTGACACTTTTCACAGTTGATGAATAGAATAAATACTAATACGGCAACACAATACCTGAGCGATAATAGAGAGGATCCCGACCATTGCTATAAAAGCAGCAATTGCTGCAGGTGAAAATTCAATAACCTGAAAAGGAACACAAAGCACAGTGCATCTCATATTACACAGTGTAGATAAAAGTGTAGTATACACGTCACCCTCAAAATATCAAATTAATTTAGACAAGGCAGATGCAGTGTTGCCAATTTTGTGACTGTCGTTATACTAAGCGAGTTTTCAGACCCCTCCAGCGACTTTTATTGATTCTAGCGACAAATTCAGCTACTTTTCAGGCTGCCTTTGGGAAGTTTTGACACAGAGGCCTTCTATGGTTTTGACAGCAACTTTTCCCACTAAATTATGCCGCAAATGAGACTGGGAGAAGCTGTCTGTGCAACAGAAGTCACAGCAACGGCGCACACATAGGCTGAGAAGCACAAGGGGAGGGGATGTGCGGCGACAGAGGGGGCGAAAACACTACATCAGGGACCGCAGCAAGCCAAATTGGTGCTGTGACGGCAAAACATCATCTAGCGACTTCTAGTGACAAATCAAGGAGCCAATAGCGAATCTCACTGCAAAACTGTTGCCAACACTGGTCAGATAACATTACATAAAGATTGATAACAATGCTAGAATGACTTAAGACTTCCCATGATCAGAAAGAAACAAAGGCATACTTATAACCTGTTATAACTGACTTATAACCAGTCTCACCTGTCGCAGGTAGAGGAAGAAGCTGGAGTACTGGCCTGCCTCTGGCAAGTAGGACAGGAACACTGTGACACATATGAGCAGCACTGTCGGGTCCTTTCCCACTCGCCTAAGAGACTGTGGACGAATGACATGTCAGGAAGAGAAACCAAGTGGTCAACATTGAGTATCACAGTGAAATTCTAAACATATTGAACAGCTGTAAGACTTAAGGCTAATTTGTACCCTACCACCGTACGCAAGAATGCAAAATCACGATCCTGCGTAGCCATAATATGCAGACATATGCAGCCCTGCAATTTTTTACTCTGCAAGATCGCCATTTTGCGGAGCTAATTGCTTTCTTGCGTTGCATATGTACTAAGGTATAAATCAGGCTTTAGCCTAACAGCTTATTTAATTTGGGTAAGGTTATGTCAATGTCACTCACAGCAAAGGGGTCGGCTTGCTCCCAAGAGATAGGCGACCCCCAGGACGTCAGTCTCATTTTGTCTGGGAGAGATTCTGGCACGACCAACAGGACAAAGGCGATATCCACCACGGCGATGATAGTGGCCACTAGCACCACCAAACTGTCGCCGTAATTTGCAGAAAGGTAGGCGCCAATGGCTGGACTAGTGACCAAACTGGCGGCAAACGTTGCGGACACCTGAAGCAGAAGGAGAAGGTGGAACATCCTCAACATTTGTGTTTTAATTGATTTGATCATCTTTAACATCTAAGTCATAAGGGTGGTGGGGGATAAGACGTTAAGACAGACAAGAGCCATTACCAGTCCATATGCTGTGCTTCTTTCATGTTCTTCAGTGATGTCTGCTACATACGCAAAGATTACAGAGAAAGTCACAGCGAAGATGCCCGAGACTGATATCATGGCAAAATACCACCTGCAGAGAAACATTCAAAAGTAAAATTCTTACTCAAAACAGGGGAAATGTCACAAATATTCAACACTGAGAAATGTATCTTGAAAACAAAGTTGTGTTTTAATTCAGCAGCAGACATACATTTCTCTCAGTGAGAGGAGGTAAGCATCAGCAGAAAACACAGAGAGAATCTCAATTGCTTACTCCTCACGTCCTCTCTCCTTGCCTCCTTCTCAAAACCCATTGGAGGAGAAGATCAGAGGGGAGGGACCTATGGCTTTCTCATCCAATAGGTTTTGAGGAGGAGGCAAAGAGAGAGGACGCGAGGAGTATGCAATTGAGATTTTCCCATTGCCCACATACAACCCATGTTCCCAGCAGGTTCGCAGTCAGAAGCCACAGAGTGCGCTGTAGAGATCACTCACATGAGAAGCATGTGACTGAGCACAAAGGGTGCTATGTCTACCAGTGCCTCTTACCATGGGCTTATCCTCATTAGGGGGATTGGGGCACAGGTGAAGAACACTGTAACCAGCAGGAAGGACTTCCTGCCCCAAACATCTGATAAGGCACCTATCAGAGGGGCACTCAGGAATGACAGCAACCCCTACACACAACACAGGCAAAATGTAATCACAATGCTACGCCAAAAATGCATCAATAAGCACAAGACCTCTATGGGCAGGCGTTTCACACAACTCAAAGTAGGTGTGAAAGAGATACATTATCAATGTTAAAATTGCTCACCTAAACACACTAAGACCTTGACATAGCTAGCTGAAGTATAGTAACATTAGGGAGTCTTGCTGTGGGTAGTGAATGTAGCACAAAGACGGTCATGACCAAGCCTTGGGCAGACCTGGGTTATCAGGCAAGCTCAATCCTCTGTGATTCTGACTGACAACCATCTGTATGTCATACATGACAAGATGTTATATTACAATGCAGTAATACGCTGCTCGTCACCATTGACTAATGCTGATCTGAACAAACCAGATAGGTGAAAAGACAATGCCTAGTAGAAACTTGACAAACGTATGAGTTTCCCCTGCACCTCTCACCTACACCCAAAAGCTAGATCAACTAAACAATTATCCAGAAACATTAACTAAAAGAACAAGGCTGTCTGAAATGAGAAGGTGAGCATAGTGACCAAATATCCTCTCATCGCAACTTTGAGATAAAAGTTCCTCATTTGAAGAAAATGAAACATTGAATCTTAAAAGCAACCCAAATGGAAATGCCTCTTACCTTAACACCTTGAATCAGACCATTCATAAGAAATGTGTGCTGGGGAAACGTTTCATGAAGAACCTGGAGGACAGCAGAAGGAGACAATACAAATACCCTTGTTAGGTCATTTGCAAAGTCACTACAGATAATGCCGTCATTCATTCATGACCTTTGCCCTTTGGGGCACTGAGGAGGGCGCACGTCTTGCCGCGTCCTGCTCGACTTGCTTTTTTATTGGTATTTTTGCGTTCATTATGACTTTGTTTGCTCAGAATGTTTGTGCAATCATTTCTTACAACCGACAAACACTTCTGGATCATGAATCGGAAGCTACACAGTTCTCTCTCAGCCTCCCAGATCTGGGATACTACATTCGCTCCTTTGTTTCCGCACAGCGGACTTACCTGTTGCTCCTGGCCGAGACGACAGAAGGCAACGCCGGCGACGAAGAACAGTAATGAAAGGGGGACCCCAAGCTAGGCTGAAAAGACAGGCTACATGGCCTCCTCTTTCTAGCATCCTGATGGCTAATGTCCAATCGCTGGAAAATGAACATTGTGAACTCAGAGCAAGGCTTCAATCGCAGAGGGACATCAGGGAATGTTGTGTCTTGGTTTTTACAGAGACAAGGCGTATGGACAATTCACTTGACTCTGCTATTCAACCAGACGACTTTTCCATTTTCCGTATGGATCGAACGGCGGCTTCTGGTAAGAGTAGGGGGAGGCGTTTGCTTCCTCGTCAACACTTCCTGGTGTACCAAAGTTAAAAACATCTCAAGCTCCTGTTCACCCTACCTGGGGTTTTTGATGCTAAAATTCGGACCCCACTATATGCAGAGGGAATTGGCGTGCGTTATTACCACAGCTGTGTACATACCGCCACAAGCAAACATCAAGGCGGCACTCAGCGAACTGTACAAGAACATTAGCCAACAAGAATCCTCTCACCCAGAAGAAGTCTATTGTCGCGGGAGATTTTAACAAAGCAAGTTTAAAACAAATTCTTCCAAAGTATCACCAACACGTATCCGGACCCACGAGAGGAAACAACGTGCTGGACCATGTGTACACAAACATCCATGACGCATACAAAGCCGTCCCCCGCCCCCACTTCGGCCAATCAGATCACGTCTCTGTTCCTACTCCCCGCTTACAAGCAGCAACTCAAGAGGGAGCCACCAACACAGAGAATAGTGAAGTGCTGGACAGAGGCAGACTCAATGCTGTAGGACTGTTTAAGAATACTAATTGGAATATGTTCAAAGATTTATCCACCCAGGACTCACCCATCCATATTGAGGAATATACATCGTCAGTCACAGGTTTCATTATGAAATGTACTTACAATAACAATCCGGACATACCCCAACCAACAACCCTGGATGAATATAGAAATCCGTACCATGCTGAGAGCCCATACTGCAGCATTCAATGTCAGTAGAGAGAACCCCAACAACTTGGGGTCGCAACGCATGTGGCAAGGACTACTGGCTATCACGGACCACAAAGGCAAATCCAGCTGTGTGGTGCCCACCGAAGCCTCCCTCTTAGACAAGATTAACACAATCTATGCTCGCTTTGAGGCAGACAATACTGAGCAATGCTTTCACTCTCCGAGTCGGACGTGAAAAAACTCAAGAGTGAATACTCAAAGCCGCCGGCCCAGATGGCATCCCTGGCCGCGTCCTCAGAGTGTGCGCTGACCAGCTGGTGGGCGTCTTCTCGGACATCTTCAACCTGTCCTTGTCCCAGGCTGTAGTCCCCCCACTTGCTTCAAGGAGACCACCATCATCCCAGTGCCCAAGAACAACAAGGTGACATGCGCAAATGACTATCGCCCCATTGCACTCACCCTGGTCATCATGAAGTGCTTCGAGAGGCTGGTCATGACCCACATCAAGGCCAGCATGCCAGGCACACTGGACCCACTCCAATATGCCTATCGCTCCAACAGATCCACGGAGATGCCATTACCACCATTATTCATACGGCCCTAACACATCTGGACAAGAGGAACACCTATGTGATAATGCTGTTCATTGACTACAGTTCAGCATTCAACACTATTGTTCTCTCTAACCTCAGAGCCCTGGGTCAGGACACTACCCTCTGCAACTGGATCCTGGACTTCCTGATGGGCAGACCACAGGTTGTGAGGAATGGCAACAGAAACTCCTCCACACGGACTCTTAACACGTGGGCCACCCAAGGGTGTGTCCTCAGCCCGCTGCTGTACTCCCTGTTCACCCACGACTGTGTGGCTTTGCACAACACCAACTCCATCAAGTTTGCTGACGACACCACGGTTGTAGCCCTGATAACCAGCAACGATGAGTCAGCCTATAGGGAGGAGGTAAGTGAACTGGCATTGTGATACCAGGACAACAACCTCTCACTCAACGTCAGCAAAACAAAGGAGTTGAGAAACATGCCCCAATCCACATCAACGGGACTGCAGCAGAGTCAACAGTTAGCGTCCACATCACCGAGGACTTGACATGGCCCAACAACACCACCACTCTTGTCAAGAGGGCGCAACAGCACCTTTACTTCCTAAGGCGGCTGAAGAAATTCGGCATTCCGCCCGGCATCCTGACCAGTTGCATCGCAGCCTGGTACCGGAATTGCTCCGCCCACGACCGCCAGCGGGTGGTGAAGACTAGGCTTGGGTGGTATACAGTATATAACGTATACCGAGGTATTTGGAAAGAGCCACGGGATGGTTTTTCAATACCATCAATACCGGTGAAACTATTTATTACACATTTTTCTATACATTTTAATATTTGTAGCAACTTCTGGAAGGTTCTCCCATCTCCACAAAGGAACTCTGGAGCTCTGTCAGAGTGACAATTGGGTTCTTGGTCACCTTCCTGACCAAGACCCTTCTCCCCGATTGCTCAGTTTGGCCGGGCGGCCAGCTCTAGGAAGAGTCTTGGTGGTTCCAAACTTCTTCCATTTTAGAATGATGGAGGCCACTGTGTTTTTGAGGACCTTCAATGCTTCAGACATTTTTTGTTACCCTTCGACAGACCTGTGCCTCGACACAATCTTGTCTCGGAGCTCTACGGACAATCCCTTTGACCTCATGGCTTGGTTTTTGCTCTGACATGCACTGTCAAATGTGGGACCTTATATAGACAGGTGTGTGCCTTTCCAAATCATGTCCAATCAATTGAATTTGCCACAGGTGGACTCCAATCAAGTTGTAGAAACATCTCAAGGATGATGAATGGAAACAGGATGCACCCGAGGTCAATTTCGAGTCTCATAGCAAAGGGTCTGAATACTTATGTAAATAAGGTATTTCTGTTCTTTATTTGTTATAAATGTGCAACATTTTCTAAAAACCTGTTTTCGCTTTGTCATTATGGGGTATTGTGTGTAGATTGATACGTTTTTTATTTTTTTTTGAATAAGGCTGTAATGTAACAAAATGTGGAAAAAGTGAAGGGGTCTGAATACTTTCCGAATGCACTGTATGTATAACATTATGAGCTGGAGTGCCTGCCTTTGCAAAAAAATATATGTTTGCGCTCGTTAGCATATTTAGCTAGCAGCTTCCATGAAGATTCGCTATTACTTGTGCTAATGTTATTAGCATTCTGGTAATAGATGCCCAATGGGCTTTGTGTCTTTTGGCACCCCCTTGTGTACTAAACCGGTAATACCATAAATCCCGGGATGAGAGAAGGATGGCATGACGATATGAAATTCTGGATACCGCCCAACCCTAGTACATCACTGGGGCCGTGTTCCCACCCATCCAGGACACTTGAAACGGTGCCTGAGGAAGTTTCACAGCATCATCAAAGACCCCACACACCCTGCCACGAACTGTTCACTCCCTTACCGTCGGGCAAACGGTATCGGAACATAAGGACTGATACCAACAGGCTAGAGACAGTTTCTATTTACAAGCCATCAGACTCTCCGCACTTTTGCACATACACACACACACACACACACACACACACACACACACACACACACATCACAATAGCTGTTACCAGACTTATTTACTATTGCTAATACTGCACAATTTAAACACTTGCCCCCCAATCCACCCTTTCCTGATACATGTACAAATATTGTATTATAAATTGTGCCTTCCTGTATTATACTTATGCTAAAATGTTTATTCTATTCTAAATGAGCCATTTACATCTTTCCCTTTAAACACGATTTGATACGTATCTACATCCATGAGCTCAGATATGTTTTAGTTTGAAACGATTCGGTGCCAATCGGTTTGATTAGAGGTACGAATCGATGCGATTCTGTGCGGTACGATGCGCTAACATTTGTTGCATAAACATTCATTTTCCATTCTAAATTACAATCTGCTGTTGATGGAGCTCATGAGCTGGGCCTCTCTGAGCTGACTTCTCTCGCTCTGTATGTGTGTGTGTGTGTGTGTGTGTGTGTGTGTGTGTGTGTGTGTGTGTGTGTGTAAATGATGTACATGTATGTCTATGGTGTATGCAGGCACCTGAGCCAAGCCATAAGGGAAACTTGGCATCTACCACCCCACTATCAGGTAAGGGGGCAATGTTTGCTTTTTGTCCCCCCCACTTTTGATCTGAAATCACAATATTTTGCAGATTCAAAAGTGTTTGAGCTAGTAATGTATCAATATTTATCTTTACAAATGTAATATGACATAGCAAATGAATATATAGCACAACTTTGGATTTCACCCCCGTCCAAATTACAGTTTGACCGGTTGGAAGGAAATAAGAAGCTGTGAAAACGACCAAACATGTTTGATAAAATATTGGTTCGTCTTGGATGCATATTTTATGTGGTTGAAATATTATCAGCTTTTATGATGCTGATAAAGCAGTCCCCAACTGTGCATTCGCATAAGATGCTGGAGAAAAAAAAATCATATTTCTCCACTCCTGTTCTAGAATCAAAATGTAGCCTACATTTTGTGTAGCCTATCATTCTACTGCAAGAAATGCTTAATTCTGCAGGAGTTAATATTAAGACTGTGAGAGGTTACAGACCTACAGTCAGTGTCCGGATATCAGTTTCCATTCAACCCATCTGAACAGTAGGCTACAGTTCCCTTGACATGCCATAGGCCTATTTGAAGTCTCCGTCTTGTGACTGTCGAATTTGTATAGCGCCTCACAATCACACATAACATAGACGGCACTGCCATCAACTTAACCCAATGTTTCCCAACCATTACTTTTCTAGCCATCCCTTCTCTTTATTTTCAACTCTCCATTTCGCAGCTTTTCTCTTATTGAATTAAACGCAGACACTGTCCTTTTTGCCTCAGTGGATCAACATGAACTTTTTCTGCCAGTTCTCAAACGCGTTTGACGATTGGAGTGTAGGCTATTTGGCGCACGTAAAGTAAGGCCCTAAAGCTTAGGCTTACGCACTAATGCCAGATAGCCTTAAAATAATGAAAGAAAAACCTCAATGTAGCCTATAGATATAAATTGCACAAGAACGATACATTTATGGATTTTTTTATGTATGGTTTTCTCTTTATTTAACCCGATCATATTTCATGACCCTAAACCCACCCGCCCGGGACTGCGGGTTATGAGTAAACACCTACATCATTACACTGTATATCTAAAAATAACCATATATAGTGCATTAGGAAAGTATTCAGACCCCTTCACTTTTTCCACTGTTATGTTACAGCCTTATTCTAAAATTGATTAAATAAAAATCTACACACCATACCCCATAATGACAAAGCGAGAACAGGTTTTTAGAAAATGTTGCACATTTATTACAAATAAAGAACAGAAATACCATATTTACGTAAGTCTTCAGACCCTTTGCTATGAGACTCGAAATTGAGCTCAGGTGCATCCTGTTTCCATTGATCATCCTTGAGATGTTTCTACAACTTGATTGGAGTCCACCTGTGGTAAATTCAATTGATTGGACATGATTTGGAAAGGCACACACCTGTCGATATAATGTCCCACAGTTGACAGTGCATGTCAGAGCAAAAACCAAGCCATGAGGTCGAAGGAATTTTCCATAGAGCTCCGAGACAGCATTGTGTCAAGGTACAGATCTGGGGAAGGGTACCAAAATATGTCTGCAGCATTGAAAGTCCCCAAGAACACATTGGCTTCCATCATTCTTAAATGGAAGAAGTGTGGAACCACCAAGACACTTCCTAGAGCTGGCCGCCCGGCCAAACTGAGCAATCGGGGGAGAAGGGCCTTGGTCAGGGAGGTGACCAAGAAACCGATGGTCACTCTGACAGAGCTCCAGAGTTCCTCTGTGGAGATGGGTGAACCTTCCAGAAGGACAACCATCTCTGCAGCACTCCACCAATCAGGCCTTTATGGTAGAGTGGCCAGACGGAAGCCACTCCTCAGTAAAAGGCACATGACAGCCTGCTTGGAGGCACCTAAAGACTCTCAGACCACGAGAAACAAGATTCTCTGGTCTGATGAGAGATTGAACTCTTTGGACTGAATGCCAAGCGTCATGTCTGGAGGAAACCTGGCACCATCCCTATGGTGAAGCACGGTAGTGGCAGCATCATGCTGTGGGGATGTTTTTCAGTGACAGGGACTGGGTGACTAGTCAGTATCGAGGTAAAGATGAACGGAGCAAAGTACAGAGAGATCCTTGATGAAAACCTGCTCCAGAGCGCTCAGGACCTCAGACTGGGGCGAAGGTTCACCTTCCAACAGGACAACAACAGCACACAGCCAAGACAACGCAGGAGTGGATTCGGGACAAGTCTCTGAATGTCCTTGAGTGGCCCAGCCAGAGCCCAGACTTGAACTCTATTGAACATCTCTGGACAGACCTGAAAATAGCTGTGCAGCAACGCTCCCCATCCAACCTGACAGAGCTTGAGAGGATCTGCAGAGAAGAATGGGAGAAACTCTCCAAATACAGGTGTGCCAAGCTTGTAGCGTCATACCCAAGAAGACTTGGGGCTGTAATCGCTGCCAAAGGTGCTTCAACAAAGTACTGAGTAAAGGGTCTGAGTACTTATGTAAATGTAGTATTTCAGTAAAAAAAATATATATAAATTAGCAAAACTCTCTCAAAACCTGTTTTTGCTTCATCATTATGGGGTATTGTGTGTAGATTGAGGGGGTCGCCGTATCATTAAAAAAAACAATTTAATCAATTTTAGAATAAGGCTGTAACGTGAAAAAGCGAAGGGGTCTGAATACTTTCAGAATGCACTGTATACCATGTGTATCCTGTACATTGATTTACCTTTATTTGAGACTAAATCCTACACAATACAGAAACAAGCACATACAACAGGCAAGTATAGATAAACATAAATGCAGACAATATACGCATTAAATACATATTAAGATACAAAACACAATCAATTAAAACAATTACATTCTTCATTATAAAAATCCTCTGTCTGAATTGTCCTAGGTACTTCAAAGCATCCAATAGAAACGTCTTTTGGAGATTATTCCAAACATAGGGTGCAAGGAAATTAAAGGCCGATTTACCTAACTCTGTAGACACCAAAGGAGTCTCCAAAGTTAACCAACTCTGTGAACAGGTTTGATAACTTGTAATTTTAAATCTTAACAGTGATGTTAGGTAAGTCGGAAGCTTATGGAGCAGGGCTTTGTAAACAAAAAGACTGTAATGATGTGATCTACTTGACTTTAAAGCCATACAGCCAACCTTTTGGTAAAGAACGCAGGGATGAGTAATACAACTGTCTCCTGTGATAAAACGACTAACAAAACATCAAACTTAAAACGTGTGTGTCTGGTGTGTTTACTTACAGTCAGCATTGGTGTTGTAAGCAGTCCCCAAGCAAAGAACTCTAGAAAGATGACCACAACTGCATGGGACACCTTGGCACGGCCGGTGTGCTGCAATGGGAAGATAGTGACAGAGACTGTTTAGGACAGTCCACGGTGAAAAATACCAGTAGTCTAATCTGTAATAACAATTTCTGAAATAACAACATTGAGCAAGAACTTCCTACACCCTTCCTTGTTGTTTTCAACTTTAAAATATGTAAAAGTGGGGAGAATGCTACAGTAGGGGGATTATTGCTGCATTCACGTCATGTTGGAAACTTTTCCTTGACCATGTTGCTATGTGCATTATAGCAAAGTTAACCAGCATATTGCTGTTGACAACAATGCCGCGGAGGCAGCAGCAGAATGAGGAGACGAGAAAACAGCCCTTGCCTTATTGTCTAAGAAAAGTGAGGAGAGAGGAAACTCCACCGTAATTAGGTCTATAAATCAATAGCCTAACTGTTAAATGTGCCTGGCTTTATAAATCATCCATTTATAGACAGAAATAAGACAGATCCTGCTTTTGTGTTTGTATAATAGCCTACTGATTCCATGAGCACCAAGCCTCACACAACCACAACATGTCGGATAAACTATTTCAAAATGGGGCTGTTTTTAAGCTTTGCTATGCTGTAATAAAGGCTTTAAATGTTTTTAAAATTAGAACCGCCTCTCTGGTATTATTGTTAATTCATTTAGTGTTGTTTACACTGCTCCAAATTGTCAGAAGGATTATATTTATAAGAATAATAACCCTCTTTCTTGATTTCGTTCTTATTGTTATTATTACTATTATGATTATCATTAAAATAATAAGTAATGTCATTATCATTAGTAGGCTTAGTATAGCCTTGTATAACCACCATTGAGCTGTAAGCCTAAGAGCGCATCCTGTTCAGTCTGAATATCGTAACTTACTTAGGCCTACAGTGCATTCGGAAAGTATTCAGACCCCTTGACTTCTTCCACATTTTGTTACGTTACAGCCTTATTCTAAAATTGATTAAATAAATACAAATCCTCAGCAATCTACACACAATACCACATAATGACAAAGCGAAAACTTTTGACTTGGAAGAGTTCCCGTGTTGGATAGCCATAGACAGCAAGCGAACATAAGATCCCTCTCTGTTTGAGTAGGCTAAACTAGCTAGGTAAGTGAAAGTGAAAAAAAGACTAAATATAGCCAACTCTCTCTCTCTCTTGCTTCACTTTCATTTTTGAAGAAATGAAGGAAATGAAAACTATTGACTTCTACTTGAGTCAACTACTCACCACATTTTATGCACTGCAGTGATAGCTAGCTGTAGCTTATGCTTTCAGTATTAGATTCATTCTCTGATCCTTTGATTGGGTGGACATGTCAGTTCATGCTGCAAGAGCTCTGATAGGTTGGAGGATGTCCTCCGGGTGTTGTCATGATTACAGTGTAAGTCTATGGAAGGTAAAGCTGGGCAATTCACATACCGCCCCAACAGAGCCACAGATGACGCAATCTCAATCGCACTCCACACTGCCCTTTCCCACCTGGACAAAAGGAACACCTATGTGAGAATGCTGTTCATTGACTACAGCTCAGCGTTCAACAACATAGTGCCCACCAAGCTCATCACTAAGCTAAGGACCCTGGGACTAAACACCTCCCTCTGCAACTGGATCCTGGACTTCCTGACGGGCCGCCCCCAGGTGGTAAGGGTAGGCAACAACACATCTGCCACGCTGATCCTCAGCACGGGGGGGGTGCGTGCTTACTCCCTGTTCACCCACGACTGCGTGGCCAAGCACGACTCCAACACCATCATTAAGACCTGATCACCGACAAGAATGAGACAGCCTATAGGGAGGAGGTCAGAGACCTGGCAGTGTGGTGCCAGGACAACAACCTCTCCCTCAATGTGAGCAAGACAAAGGAGATCGTGGACTACAGGAAAAGTAGGGCCGAACACACCCCCATTCACATCGACGGGGCTGTTGTGGAGCGGGTCGAGAGTTTCAAGTTCCTTGGTGTCCACATCACCAACAAACTATCATGGTCCAAACACACCAAGAAAGTCGTGAAGAGGGCACGACGATGCCTTTTTCCCCTCAGGAGACTGAAAAGATTTGGCATGGGACCCCAGATCCTCAAAAAGTTCTACAGCTGCACCATCGAGATCATCCTGACCGGTTGCATCACCGTCTGGTATGGCAACTGCTCGGCATCCGACCGCAAGGCAGAGGGTAGTGAGTACGGCCCAGTACATCACTGGGGCCAAGCTTCCTGCCATCCAGGACCTACAGTGGGGAGAACAAGTATAGAGAGCTGGGACCACAGTCTCAAAGAAAACCATTAGTAACACACTACGCCGTCATGGATTAAAATCCTGCAGCGCACGCAAGGTCCCCCTGCTCAAGCCAGCGCATGTCCAGGCCCGTCTGAAGTTTGACAATGACCATCTGGATGATCCAGAGGAGGAATGGGAGAAGGTCATGTGGTCTGATGAGACAAAAATAGAGCTTTTTGGTCTAAACTCCACTCGACGTGTTTGGAGGAAGAAGAAGGATGAGTACAACCCCAAGAACACCATCCCAACCGTGAAGCATGGAGGTGGAAACATCATTCTTTGGGGATGCTTTTTTGCAAAGGGGACAGGACGACTGCACCGTATTAAGGGGAGGATGGATGGGGCCATGTATCGCGAGATCTTGGCCAACAACCTCCTTCCCTCAGTAAGAGCATTGAAGATGGGTCGTGGCTGGGTCTTCCAGCATGACAACGACCCGAAACACACAGCCAGGGCAACTAAGGAGTGGCTCCGTAAGAAGCATCTCAAGGTCCTGGAGTGGCCTAGCCAGTCTCCAGACCTGAACCCAATAGAAAATCTTTGGAGGGAGCTGAAAGTCCGTATTGCCCAGCGACAGCCCCGAAACCTGAAGGATCTGGAGAAGGTCTGTATGGAGGAGTGGGCCAAAATCCCTGCTGCAGTGTGTGCAAACCTGGTCAAGACCTACAGGAAATGTTTGATCTCTGTAATTGCAAACAAAGGTTTCTGTACCAAATATTAAGTTCTGCTTTTCTGATGTATCAAATACTTATGTCATGCAATAAAATGCAAGTTAATTACTTAAAAATCATACAATGTGATTTTCTGGATTTTTGTTTTAGATTCCGTCCCTCACAGTTGAAGTGTACCTATGATAAAAATTACAGACCTCTACATGCTTTGTAAGTAGGAAAACCTGCAAATTCGGCAGTGTATCAAATACTTGTTCTCCCCACTGTATATACTAGGTCGGTGTCAGAGGAAGGCCCAAAAAATTGTCAAAGACTCCAGTGACCCAAGTCATAGACTGTTCTCTCTGCTACCGCACGGCAAGCAGTACTAGAGCGCCAAGTCTAGGTCCAAAAGGCTCCTTAACAGCTTCTACTCCCAAGCCATAAGAGTGCTGAACAATTAATCAAATGGCCACCTGGACTATTTGCATTGACCGCCCCTTTTTTTACGCTGCTGCTACTCGCTGTTTATTACCTATGCAGTCACTTTACCCCTACCTACACGTACATATTACCTTACCGTGAAATTCTTACTTACAAGCCCTTAACCAACAATGCAGTTTTGAGAAAAATAAGAGTTAAGAAAATATTTACAAATTACCAAAATAATAATAATAATAATAATAATAATAATAATGAGGCTATATACAGGGGGTACCGGTAACGAGTCAGGTAGCTTAGTGGTTAAGAGCGTTGTGCCAGTAACCGAAAGGTCGCTAGTTCTAATCCCCGAGCCGACTAGGTGAAAAATCTGTCGATGTGCCCTTGAGCAAGGCACTTAACCCTAATTGCTCATGTAAGTCGCTCTGGATAAGAGCGTCTGCTAAAATGTATTAAAAAAATTAAAGAAATTAGCCAGCTAATCTTTATATTTCAAGTTTAGCCAATTTGGATCCATTTGCTAGCTAACAAGGTTGAACAGTTGAATTGTTATGAACACACCCTTCTGTCTGTCTCCAACTGCTTGAAAAGCATGTTAGCCTATCCACTTTGTTCAGATGTTGAAATCAAGTGGCCTACCTTATTTCTCAGAATGAGAATGAGTAGCCAATTCCTTATATAATTGTGTTTTATGCTTATTGCACATTTATAAAACACAGCTAGTATAACAGTCATTGGTTAAAATGCTGCTAGCGGTACGTGGTAGCCCAATGCCGCACGCATCAAACTGAGCATTGTTCATTGATACTCTCGTTTTACAGTCTGCTCTGCGTGCAATTTGAGTAGTTGAGACATAAAAAGGGTATAGTTAGAAAAGTTAACTTCTCCTCTATTACAGTAAAATAATGTCTCAATGTGTTTTGGTGTCCATACGACCAATTCCATTGGACCAAAACTCAAATGGAAAGTTGAAAACGCTTGTCAGAGACAGGGTTGCCAGGTCTAGCTAAAATTCCTAGACCAATGACCACTCAGAACCGACCCAAAAGGCATGAAAACTAGCCCAATTTTATTTCTTTCACAGCAAGAGTTGCCACATTTATTCAATAAACAATTTGAGCCAATTAAGGAATATCGACATAACTACGTTAGAAGAAAAATGCGGTTTTCATCAAAGGAATAATTCTTGCAAACTATGACATGACGTAATAAACTAATTTGAATGTCGCAAGAGAAAAGATAATTCGCCCTTATTAAACTCGCCAGATCATTTTCCATCAATGGATTTCGATTTAACTTGTTTGACTGCTATGATTAAGCAATAAGGCACGAAGAGGTATGGTATATGGCCAATATACCACAGCTAAGGGCTGTTCTTAAGCATGACGCAACGCGGAGTGCCTGGATACAGCTGTTAGACGTGGTACTGTATATTGGCCATATACCACAAACCCCTAGGGTGCCTTATTGCTAAAAAAAAAGAAAAGCGATTTTGTCATACCCATGGTATATAGTCTGATATACCACAGCTTTCAGCCAACCAATCAGCATTCAGGGCTCGAAACCGGTTTATAATTGTAAATAAATCCCTTTTGCGCATGAGCATAACTATAGATAAATCTGACAGGAGAGTTTGAGTGATGAAATATGA